TATGTATCTTTGTTTGTAAGGATTTTTATGAAGTTTCGGAATCCAACATGGATATGATAATTCAAATTCATTTTCGTTGTTTGGAATATTGAAATTATTCAAAACTGACATATGATTTTGAAGAATTTCTTCCTTAGAAAGGGAACTATGATTTTTAGTTGGATTACCACTTGAAGAATTAAATCCAAGTTCCTTTAAAATACATTTAATATAATGAGCCTTACAAACAAAACAATGTTGTTACCTGCTTTGTCAGCAGGGACCAGTACGTACTGATCATGTAATCTATCTAATTCTTTTTCCACTTCTGGATTATTGAATACAGAAGGATAGATGGTTCTCATATTGCCCCTCAATCTATTAATGCGCGATTTTGACATACATCTGATACATATAATCCATTCTGACAAAGTGTCAAGGTCTTCTTTTTCATGTTTAGCCCATCGTCTGGCATAATCCTCTACAGAATCCATAATATTTACGAAATTCCGACGCCAGTTGAAGGATCGGGGTTCCCTATATTTAGGATCTTTTAAAATTAGTGATCTAAGGTCCTCATTATTAACTTTATTCACGTCATCAGTAATAACGTGTCCAGCAGGACTATATTTATAGGGTGAAGAAGAACATGAACACGATGGAGGATCATGTTTCAGATATTCGATATCAGGTCCTGTAAAGTTTACTTGTAGTTAAAAAGTTTGGAAGCAATAGTCGATGTATATTTGTAGGAAATACATGTACAAGGTGTAGTCTTTAACTTGAAATATGGTGGAATACAAGACTGGACCCTTTTGTGATTAAGAATATTACTTATATTAACCGCGTCAATTCCTTTGTTGGTATATTGATGTTTAAGGACAAAACGAATTGTTTTAGCTGCATTTTCCTCAGTAAAACGTGGGGGTTTAAATAGCCTATGATTTGCAATATCCATAATCACAGATCCGAGCCTATATTCTGGTGTCGAGGAATCAAAAAATGGACTTTCCTTGACCTTTTCAAGAAGACTATTTAAAAGTCTCAAAGGGACAGAGTAAAGTTTGGTGCGAATATGATGTAGACCTAACTTTTGATTTACGTAAGGTAGTAATGAATCAAAAGAGACATCGTGTATAAAAGGTTTATTGTAAGACCGATGCCGATGACTACGCTTACGTCCCTGTGTATGGTTAAAAAGTCCCATCACATTTACATTGTTACACTATTGACTGGAAAGATTTCCAACACTATCGACATTGTCATTACATCCATAGGGAAAGGCTGTCCCTAGTTTTCTAATCCAAAATTCTTCTCGTTGTCTAGGGAAAGGTGTACTCAGTGATGGACTGTTTGTGTGGTGATAAATCTATTCTAGAATTCTTTCATTGACAAAATAGAATGATCAGGTAAATTAAAATGCTTGTATTAAAGCTACTGACCTCCATTATTTATCTGAAATCTATGACCTGATATTCTTTTGTTAAGTGATCCCTTGGTTTCACCAACATAAACAAGTCCACAAAGATTACATTCTATTCCGTAGACAACATTAGAAGATATGCAGTTCAGATTTTCCCAGGTTTTGGTACAGAAGCTCTGTCCAGTAAGATTACTGGTGATAGAAGTGTTAGTTATCAAAATGTCACAGGTTTTACAGTTTTTCGCAGAACATTTTGAAATATAAGACATGGGATCGGTATTTGAACAATACCTTATTCATTAATTTTCTCTTTTCATGTAAGTAAGTTTATTACGAAGTACAAATTGTACTTCGGGTTCGTTGCCACGATGCTCTCAGTGAGAACATACACAAATTTTATCGATAAATTTATTAGAAAAACCTATGACATATATGTAATAGTCTTTCGATGTATAAATATATTCACAACTTATAGTGTTATCAATGATTTACCATTATTTCAATGAACATATTCACACAAAAGCTTTTTAATGTTCACGCAGCGTTTTTCTTTTTAACATCGGGCTCGATGCTTTATGATGTTCTAGAAGCGTCCGTCAATATTTAGCTGCAATAATGTAGCCCTCTCCCCTTTTTTTTTTTTTTTTTTTTTTTTTGGGAGAGGGCTACAACTCCTTAGGATCTCCGTAATGGTGCAAGTGCGGGAGTGATTCACTCCCGCACGGATTTCGGCTTAAATTATCAGCAAATGGCTATTTAATTAACATTTCTTACCTGAACTCCAAAAATGTAGTTATGCAAAAAAATAAATCAATCCAAACATACACAGAACAATCCTTATATCGGTTATTTTTCGTGTATGTCAACATCACAACTTGAATTTATCCGCCATGTTTACTGACCTTGATCGATTTTATTTTGGGACAGCCAATGAGACTAGGGATCTCTAGGGAGCGGATCTCTGTAGGAATTACCTTATTTTAGGCATAAATATCGCTGTTTACGAAAAAATGTCACATGGAATAGTTTTATTTATCAATATTTAGTGATACCATACAGCACAATCATTTAGTAACCCCGAAAATCTACTTTACAAAGTAATTTATAATTTTCAAACGCAAGTCTCAGTGCATCACGCGAGAACTGTCATGGCTTTTGATGAGAGCGACTGGTAAACAAGCAGATTTATTTTATCTGGTTTTCGCGTTTAACGGGCTATGTTGTTGACAGTGAATAAAAATTTCACCTTTTTAGAAGTAAGTTGAATGTAAAAACAATTTATTTTGCCTGCAGTCGCCCGTATTTAAAAAATATATTTGCACCATTACAGAGATGCTGTGGAATTGTAGCCCTCTCCAGAAAATATCAGATTAAAAAAAATCGGAGAGGGCTACATTATTGCAGCTAGTCAATATTAAGATCGGTGAATGACGAAAATAATTTGCACATTTCCCTTTTTAATCGGTTATCACAACTTATTTCTTTTATATCATTTAAATCATGTTTTGATTGAATAATTCAGTGATGACTTTTTATGAAATAATGTTGTCAGGTTCATTAAAAACTGCAAGTAAGTTATATCCGCCAACCGGAACCGCCACCGTACTCACGTTTTTGCTATTTCATGGCTGTTAATAGAAAATGAAAGGAGACTTTTAATTTAATGTACGATACTTACTATGTGAGTGAAATCTAAATTTAGTTTACGGACATCATCTTATATCTAGTTTATACTTATAGGAGTAAGTAAAAACTGTGGTGCAGCCATTTCGGAGATTATTTATAAGTATAGATTTTCTACCAGGATAAAATACTTATTAATCATTTATTTTAAAACACATTTTCCAAATAAATACATTTCAACATATACATGTATATAAAAACGATGATTGTGTGCATTTTATGTCTAATTTATGAATGATCGATCCAAAAAGTCAACTACGCTTGCAATAAAATATATACCCGAACGTTGTTAGACTCTCTTTAATCCAAAGAGAAGAATTGTGCTTTATGTGCTGATTTTTTAAATCTTAGTCGACATACATGTACAAACAGGTGCAAAGATATTGAATAGATTAATTGATTGACTGATTATTGATTGACGCCGAGACAGCAGTATTTCAGCCATATATCGGGCTGCTAGTAGTGAAAATAAATTGACTCCTTTTGACGAATTACTTTTGTCCAATAGAAAATTAAGAGACATTTAAAAATTCTTGCTCGTATAAATTTATTTCACATAAATGAAAACAAATATTTTGTAAGCTACAAATACTAGATGTACAATGTAGTATGCCAACTCTCTCTCTCTCTCTCTCTCTCTCTCTCTCTCAAAATTCTGTAAGTTACATGTAACTGTTATGAAAATCTTTACGAGTAATTATTCTTCATTTTATTTAGTAGAAAATTATGCAAGTTTCGATGAAATGTTTGAGCATGTGACCGAAGAAATAAGGGGGGGGGGTACGAATGTGGTTGTCTCTCACTTTAATATGAGCACAGAAATGGAAACATGTCTCGAAAAGCCTACAAAAATTTTAACAGTGTTTTAAATTTAATAATTTTTTAAATAAAGTGCAAAGCTATGATATTAAATTAACCATGTGTAACCCAGTCCATACGAGGAAAAAAATGATTTAAACAAAACAAGCATTCTGAGAGTATTGCATTAGCAATACTAGTCCCCTACCGGCAAGTGTAATCTGGTTCCGTTCCCGTTAAGAATTGAAAATGCCATAATTCCGTCAAAAATTAATGAAGCGGGACGAAATGCAAACTTGATCTATAACTAATCAAGGTGAAGCCACATACCAAAAATCAGCTCAATATCTACAAGCGTTTAGAAGAAAATTGCGGAAAACCCGTAAAAATTGAAAAGGCCGTAATTCCGTCCAAAATCAATGAAGCGGAACGAAATGCAAACTTGATCTGTAACTCATCAAGATACACCCACATACCAAAAATCAGCTCAATATCTGCAAGCGTTTAGGAAAAAAGTGCGGAAAACCAAGTGGGACAGACTGACAGACAGACAGAGGGACAGACAGACAGACAGACGGACAGACAGACAGACAGACGGACGGACAGACTCAGAGGAAACCTATAGTCCCCTCCGGTTTCACCGGTAGGGGACTAATAAACAGGATTAAATCACATTAAAAATACCTGAATTCAAATTACAGTAGTTGCTCAAATTACGACGATAAATTCATCCTTTTTTACAATGAAATTCTTTACATTGACATCGTAAATCATACCTTCAAAATCACGTCTTTTCTGCACGCAATCGCAAGTACGCTGCGAAGAAAAGGATAACGTCATCAAAGAGAGATAAATGTAATGCTACTATTACGTCACAGACAGCGCAAGGGGAAAAGAGTTAACACTTGGTCAAGAACTCTTTGGTACAAAATGGTCCTCTGAAAGAACAGTCTTTCATAAATCCCTTTTATCATTATATGATTTATTTTACTAAAGACAGACCCTTTAAATTAGTCATCCTCTCAAGGAATTTAATAAAAGCTGTTCTGTATTATAAAAAAGAGTTTTAAAAGAGCAAAATATGGTTTATATTCACATGCTTCTGTCTCTTTTTCAGGAGATATGAAAGACAAGGACCTTCTAGACAGTTTCGAAAAATGGTTCGATGATAAATGCAAGAAAACAAACCTTGTTCATTTTTATTATGGGAGGGCAGATATAGCTACAAAAAAAATCCAAAAAGGCGATGGAGTTATTGTTGCTGTTATTGATAATATGGAAGATATCGAAAAGAAAACATCGTTTTTGCATCGTGGCAAAAACGTTCAAGTCATTTGGAAGTTCTGGAAAGAAGATTCAGAAGAAGCGTCTTTAGGAATGGAAGAGGAGCAAAAGCTCCAAGATCAGCAGATTGAAAAACTAGAAAAAATCGAAAAATTCCTGGAAGAAAATGCAAATGATTTGTTCGAAAAGCATTCAAACTTAGAGATGATCGTGGCTTCGACGTATCGAATAAAAAAAGGAAGAATAGAGATAACACCTTGCATCGTTTTATACTGTTCTTGCAAAGGCATTGTGCCTATCAATGAATCCAAATTCCCCACCGAAATTGATGAATTCAAAACAGATGTTAGAGAGGGTTTCTTTCATTTGCATTGGAATCTCAATGAAGATGTCTGTGCTGTTTCTAAAGATTTACTAAATCCATTGAGAATGGGTGCAAGCATAGGAACGAAAGGTTAGATAATGTTTACCTGTATAATTTTCTGGAGATTGCATACATGTTTTATTTGAATTGTTATATGAGGATGTCAAGGTCGAAATATTGCATTTGTTGTTATCAATGTAGATGAAAGATATTTTTGAATATCGATGTTCCACGATACAGCTGAATTACATTGTATTTGTGAATAAGTAAAAGTTCCTTAAATATTGTATGAATTGTGCTGATAAATCTCGATATATAGTCTAAAATCGATTTAAAATACTGTAACGATTCCCATAACAGCATTTGCATTATATTATAGAAATCCTGACCTATCGGATAATATGGTTGAATAAAAGAATGCTTCATGGAACAATAAGTAGGGACCACATTCGTGGTCTTTTTTGTGTTGTTTGCTTAGCAGAGCGACATTTATATGGTTACTTTACCCGGAGTCTGTCTATCTGTCTGTCACACCATATATCTTGGGAACTGTAAGAGATATTGATTAGATATTTTGCACATATATTGCTTGACACTTTGCCTTTGTACAATACAATGATAATCGGCCTTTTGACCCCTGAAGACCTAAATTTTAAAATAGTTTATTGTATCGATATACAGCATATTTTCTAACATTTAAGGATAAGCTATTCTATTAAGTATGTGAACTGTCTGTTATAAAAACATTATGAAAAATTCTTGCGTTTCTGTCCACCCAACCTTGACTTTCGACCTACTTTGCAAAAATACTCCGGATGGTTAATTTAACTTGTGTCTGTTGAGTCTTAAAAGGTAGAATTTTGATAATTAGCACTAATATCAAACGTTTATGAGCTCAGTGTACTGTACTTTGAAACTGAGGATAGTTGGATTTAACACAAATAATAAAATTTAAAAAAAAGATGATGTCTAATTTTCATTGTTCATTTTAGCTTTGATGGTTTCAGTAACATAATCCTTTTTGATTGTCAGATTTGAATGATAAATTATATCGGTCTTAATATTCGTGGATTATGTTTTTACGCAAATGCCTGATATATAATTCTAGTTGCAAATAAAAAGTTGACCAACCTGAGATTTTATTTTAATCTTTAATGATGGTATAAAGCGGGCGACACAAGCGATCCTTGGAACACTCTAGATTCTGCTACAAGCAAAAGGAATATAATACAATGTAATATTTTGTGTTTTTGAGAAATGCAATTGGAAAACTAAGCTCCTTGGATGGTGATTTAAATGATACCTTCGTGACACCTTATTTTTGCGAGATAAGTTATTTGGTTTGGAGAAAAAAAAATAATTTATTTTAGTTATTGATGTATATAATCTTTATTAATATAACTTAAACAAAATTATTGATTTTACAAATTTTTGTGTCAGATATATGAAACGTAAAGTTTATAATGCTTCCGACTTAATACTAGTAGATTTCACATTGCAATTATGTCAAACACAATATATCTTTTATTTCTTATAAAAAAGATATTTTTGAACAGTTTTGATAATGTTAGCCTTGAAACATATAAAATCCTTAATATTGCAGATAAACAGACAGAAGGAACTCTTGGTGGATTTGTTAGATCCAATGACGAAATTGGGTTTATAACCTGTGCTCATGTTTTATACGACTCATATGAAATGGAGACAGAAAACCTTCCAAGCACTCCAATAACCGTGGTGCAACCTTCCCAATTACGAGAAGGATCGCAGGAATGTGGTCAAAGTATACGATCTGTTTCCTCATTTTCCAATGTTAATGCAGAAAAGATCACAGTCGACGCAACTCTTGTCAAATTGACAGAAAGACTTCCACAACAATTGTTTTTCGCGGACCTATTAACGGCAAGATTGATCAAGTACGGTAAGCTATCTATAGGTTTATTAATTAAAATAAGGTTTTCATCTATTAAACATTTATACACAGTGTACTCCTTATACAATAAATTTGAATACCACAGTTAGTGAAACACGCAACGAAGCCCTAAGTTAGTTTCAAATCAATCAGTTTATAATAGCTACACGTGATATATAAGAAATATTTCATTTTATCAAATTTGACCTCTTTCGTAAGCAGGTGTCTTTAATAGAATTTAACTCTATAATATCCCACAGTTAATGGTCTTTTTTGGTGTTCTGAAAAAATGTATATGTCTCATAATAATGCAAGTATTATTATTATTCCTATTTATTTCTCAAATACAATATTTATTGAAACAAAAGCTACTTTTATAATGCACCATTCATTCATAATGGATTTTAGGTTCAAAAAGTTAACGTCAGAAAGTCATGCTTGATTTTAGCTGTTAGCTCTAAATAGTACAAATAACAGTCCCAAGATAGTGTCATGTCTATATCGACAATACTATCATATCAATTGTAATTCTGATCTCAAACCAATTTATTACATAATACTACTTAGTAATAAATACAGGTTTTTGAGCTAATTTTTTTAAGAACCACTAGGCCTGAAACTATAATGTTCTTTATTTATTAAAAAAAAAAAAAAAAAAAACAAGGATTCTTTTTTCATTTGATATCTGACAAAAAATCCTAGTATTGAATGCTCGTATGATTTTTTTAAATTTATTTTCTTTTTGTCTAGGAACATCTGACGGTACTATGATTTTAAATTAGGAATATCTTTGAAAATTAAACATTTGTAAAGTACATGTACATGTACTTTGCGTATGACCTTAAATCAGACACGTTATTATATATAATGATGAATCTAGATGTTGTTTTATATTAAAATTTCCTTTTAAAGGGTTTTCGAGAACTACCTTTCCTCGGTATATCGGAGGAACTCCTCTAGACCTTAGGAAGGTCAAAGATCGGACAGCTCATCTGTCAAAAAAATATCTGAAATGTGGCACGACTTCTGGACTTACAATGGGAAGTCTCCGATTATTTTCATTTAGAGGAAGACTCAGAGATAGCCAAACAAGAAAAGGTACGAGACGTCTTCGAAATGAATTCTACGAAAACCAACTAGTAATGAGGGGTGAAAACTTCTCTGCCCCCGGCGATTCTGGGTCATTTGTCTTCCAGGTTCGGGAGGATTATATCGGCAGATTGGATTGTGTTGGAATGATTGTCGGGGCGTATAAAGATAAAGTAGTTGTCACCCCTATAATCCCTGTGCTGAATGCGTTGGGTGCGAGTCTGATCCCATTTCCTTAAGCTGCCCACACTTCTGATCCAGATCTGGCCCTGATACATTTTATTATTTTTCGTTGTTCACAATTCCTATAGAGTTGTTTGAAGAATTTTGTAGAATTGTTTTTGTTTCAGGGTGAGGAGTAGCGTAGATATACATGTAGCTTATATAACGATAATGTGGTGCACTGAAGTGGAGAGTCATAATACATTAGAAAACCTTTGTATTTTCTATCAGGAAAATAAGAACTTATTAATGTATTCAATTGAGAATTTATGAAATAATAATTAACCTGAATATAGTCTGATAGTTTGTAATTTCTGCTGATTTTGATAATGAAATTCTTTTAATATATGTATTTATCTACTATTGCTAAAAAGTTAAGCTTCTGGAAGAACAAATTGACAGAAATTAAAGTAGGGATGATTGACATTTAACAGGTAATTCTCTTGATGAAAAGATCTAAACTAACTGACTGGATAGAGGCACATTGAAATAAGCTACTAAAAAGCGCTTTTACTGTTCATAAACCTTGTATATCTAACTTTAAGTTGAAAATTTATTTATCGATGATGAACATCCTTGATGTTACGACCTAATTTTTAATTGTAAAAAAAGTTTTCTTAGGCAAACAATTCAGTTAAAATTATAGAATCCAATTACATAAGATCTACGCAACTTTCCACAAATTTACAGTACCATTTTATAAAGATTTTCTTTTTTAAAAAAAAAGGTGGGGATCTTCTCGTTCAACTTAGTGTATTGATTTTCATTATATCATATTACTCCGATACCGTTAATAGGAGCGGGTATCGTTGTTTTTTATGTATCCAGACTTTAATTTATAAGACAAATTTTTGTTTTAAATATTGATAAAAATATTGGGCACGCGACTCTTTATTTTGGGGAGAAAGTCATTAAGTATTTATATGCAAAAAAAAGTTTCACGAATTCTGGCTATTGTTGCATATTCACTATAATAAAAAAAATACGGAGGAATGAAATTTTTGCGAGCAGACGCTCTCGCATAATAACGCAAAAGTTCATGCAAATAAAAAGTGATTTACAGTAAATGATCTTCATTAACCTTCAAATATATCAAAATCTTATTAGTGTAAATTAATTCCTTTATTCCATGTTTTAAACCAAGAACTTGTTGAAGTTTTTTTGTGCTTGTATTCTTTTATATATGTTTTCCTAGTTTATTAATCATGATAAGGATGTATTTATTTGTAGGCAGAAGTGCAGCTAGCACTTTTATTTTAGTTTTTTTTATCAATCTTTAATAAAATGTAAATATGTCGGTATCTTTTAGCTCACCTGAATTGAAAGATCGTGTTATCATTTCTTATCACCTGTCGTCCGTCGTCTGTCTTTCTGCCCCTTCATTGATTATCCGTCTGTTAACTTTTCACGTTCTGGATTTCTCCAGAACAACTGTACTAATTTCAACCGAACTTTCCACAAAGTATCCTTGGGAAAAGGGAAATCAAGGTTGTGAAAATAAAGGGGTTGGGTGTCTTAAAAATCTTGAAAGATTTATTTGTTTAATCAACATAGTGTAGATTTATTTGTTTAATCATGACCCCAAGGGTAGGATAGAATCATAGTTGGGGATCAACGTTTACATGTTAAAACATATTAAAAAATCTTTAAAAATCATCTCCTGAAGAACAGTAAAGCCATGATTAGTAATATTAATGAGAAAGTGTAGATTTTTTTTCCCCCCAAGTATCATAACCCCGAGGAGAGGGTGGGGCTAAACTAGGAGATCAAAGTTTTACATAGGCTCACACAGGTACATTTTCTTTGTAAAATCTTCCCAAGAACAGCAAATCCATGATTAGTCCTATCGATATGACGTTTGTCCAAATCATGGTCACTGGGGGTAGGATTGGGCCACATAAGGCGATCAAAGTTTAACAAAGGAATAAATGAAAAGATTTCACCCATCAAAAACCATTGTAAACTTCGGTTTGGGTCGACAAGAAAAAACTCAATATACTAAATACATACTGTAAGGACTGTTGCATCAAAGTTAATACACAGAAAACAAAAGTCTTCAATCCATCTGGTAAACACATCAAAATTTCCTTCCATCTGGATAAAAACAACATTAAATGTGTAAAAAGGTACAAGTATTTTGGTCTGACAATCTACGCATCTGGAACACTAACTAGAACTTGAAACGATTGTGTAACAAAGTCAAAACTACTTCAAAATGACTTTCTCACATTTTATCCATCAGTTAAAACTGCTTTAATAGTATTGAACCACACTATTAAACCCATTATCCTATATTATCAGATTAATTGGGTTTTTTTTTATCCATGAGCTTCCAATAAATGTTAAAATTTTCAGTCTCTATCTTATGATAATCAATTTCATTGGCTCATGACTAATGAAGACCCTGACATCCTAAAATAACTTTTTGGATTCCTTGATAAACTTCCTTTATTAAGGTATGTCACTCGTCAGCCTTTTAGAAAATTTCAGTCAGAACCTCTTACTTAAAAACTATTTATTACAATTCAATCTTTATAACATATTTAAATTAAACAATGTAAAATGTTCAACATTCAATTAAAAAACTGCTCAAAAATTCACAAAGAAGCAAGATTTATAAGGGACTATTTCTTGTGGCGGAAGGATATTAAGCATGAAATTCTGCAAATCTACACATTTATCAAATTTAATATCTTGGAACTTTAGCCTTACATACTTTTACTCAGAGAATATTTTCCGTTATGATATGCCTGGAATATTAAATATAGGTCTCAATTTATATTTTTATAACAAAATTTACACCTTCGCTCAACAAACATTGCCAAGAAATGAAGATATATTAAGGAAGTCGAGATAAAATTTACACATTTTTTTGCCTGAAAATCGCATATTTTGACCAATATTTCAAAATTTACATCACTGACCCCAACTTTTTCTTTCATTTTTTAAACTACTCGATACTTTTGACCGATCAGCAAATAAGTCGTAAAAAGTTTGATACAAGAAAATATTCTATTGCCTATTTAGATTTTTAATACCCCAAATATGAGACTTTTTTAGTGCAAAAAGGTCACACAATAATTTACGCGCATTAATTTGCATGATTTGTTCAATGATAAATATTATTCAAACTATTTTACGTAAAATAAGATTATGTTTATTGCCATGGTTACATCTTATAAAATATGATAACGGTTAAAGTGATTAACCAAAGAGTTACAATTTAAGTGCAAAAAGGTCAACTTAATTGTACCGTGGCTCAGTTAGATGGCCACTGACCCCCCATTTTCTCTGCGATTTTGAGTCATACTATATGAGTACTTACCCAAAATATACTTCTCAAAAAATCCTTGATATAACAAATTTCACGAGTGACATACCTTAAATAAATTAAATAAATTTGATGATGTATGTATATGTTTGCTTATATAATCTATTTTGTTATTTGCTTTACAAATATGTATTCTTCCAGTTACTTGACTATATATCTTTATAACATGCACAAAATGTTTATTCAGTATATCTCTTGCATATGCGTCTATCAGTGATAATACAATTAAGCATTGCTCTCATTATTAAATAAGATCCTGTTTGTTATATCATTTGAATCCCCTTCCTTTTTTGTGATTTGTTTGTTTGTAAATCTTTCTTGCTCCTCTGGGGGCCCAAATTGGAATAACAAAATCTTGTATCTTGCATGAAATTTGTAGAAGTGATGTGGTCTGTAAACTGCATTGTCTTTGCCAATGTGATATTTGTTAAAAATTAAAGTTAATTGATTTATGATATAATGCTTTAACGGAAAAAATAACAGGTCTTGAGAAAGCTCATTAGAAACCAAAATTTCAAGATAATAACCACAAACGATACTTTTCTAATAAATATGTAACGATGAGTCTCGATGAACGACAACGATTTTGTGCGACAATAGATATGGTTTACTTTTTTCTTTGTATTATTTTTTTTATATTTTGTAGTGGATGTACTTTCATAATATATATTAATTTTACATTAGTGACTTTTTTGTTCAGTGCAAGTTCAGAGTTTTATTACTTTGTATTCCTCGGTAAAAAAATGTCCAAAACCTATATAATTTTTGTTTACAGATTTTGCTTCGGATCAAGCACTTGAACAATAAAGCAATTAATTCAATATCGACTGCATGATCGTCATTTCATGTACCTGGTCTGTGTTATTCAAATATAACGATGTCAAATTTGTTTAAACTCATTGACTTTGAACACACCTTGAGATTTCAACAAAAAATGAATTTATGAAATCAAAACTCGGCAAAAGTTCATTTTAATTAAAGTTATGAAACACTGATCACATGCTTACCACATGCAGTCATGTCACAATTGTACAAAGACGGTCAACAAGTTGTAATATTGTCATAGAAACCAGTTCTGGGGGGAAATAATGGTCGTGCAGTGCTCACTCTGACAAGCTCAGATGCGATTTCTTCAAAATCAATTCGTTAATTTTTATAACTTGTTTTCCTTCAAAGTACGTTTGTTCAATAATTTATATATTAATCATATTTGTCAACTCTCATTTTATTTTTATTTTGTCATGAAGTTAACGCAACTTAACCATATGAGAAAATTTTAAAATGTAAAATGTTCTTTATTGTGTTTTTGCTTTTCAAATTGTTTTGTTAAATTTGTTATTTTATTATTTGTTTAGAGTTGCGGTTTCTTTAGAATAAATTCATTAACTTTTATAACTTGTTTTCCTTCAAGGTACGTTTATTCAGTGATCTAATGTTAATCATATTTGTTAACTCTCATTTTAATTTTATTTTATCATGAAGTTAACGCAACTTAACCATGATATGAGAAAATTTTAAAATGTTGTTAATTGTGTTTTTGCTTTTCAGAATGTTTTGATAACTTTGATATTTTATTGTTATTTGTTTAGAGTTGCGGTTTCTTTAGAATAAATTCATTAACTTTTATACCTTGCTTTCCTTCAAGGTACGTTTATTCATTGATCTAATGTTAATCATATCTGTTAA